TCAATCATGCACGAATACTATTTAGCGCACAGTAAGTTATTGCATTTTGTAACTATCTTCGTTTTCTTCCCGATTATAATTTGTCCTCACAGAGGAATATGCATATAATGCTATTTTTGTTTCATTTAAAATTGCCCCACTTGATAGTATACTGCTAGCACATGATTGCCGACAATGATTTTCATTACTTTCTTTTTTGTGCCCAAGCAAACTCAATACTATGGAGGTGACTTAGGCTACTTACAACTTTATAATTTACTTCGTTTTATGTCAGGCGACCAGGCCCTGGTAGTGGGCGTTTGAATTTAAGTTTAAGTCCGTCCTCTTTTAAATAAGGTACACTATGTGGATTTATCTTTATATAATGGTAGATACTAGTTGCCTCTCGTCTTATTTACTTCTTTACGAAGTAACTAAATTTTTGAATAAATAACCACTTTATATCAGTGGCAGTGAAATGATTAGATTTTTATAGTCATTAGAACTTCTGGCTAAATTGCACAATCTCTACATTGTTTGAGTAAAAAGCAATACGCTTGCTAGGGATTATATTCTATTAGTTGTCTGAAAAGTGTTTAGTATTAATAATGGATTATAGGTTTGACTTGGTAAACTGCAAGATGCAGCTTCTTTAATGCATTTATAGCTGAAAGAGACTTTCCTAAAAATGCACAAAGACATAGAGCTAGTGAGTTAAATAGTTGCTTGACCTTGCTTTTGCAACTTGTCAAATTGGTAACAATACATTGAGGAACGCACATTATCCGAGGTCCATAGTATGCATGGCAATTTCCAGTCGGACTGTGAATTTGGTACATTCCCAGGCGTTCCGCCAGCATCGTAGTCGGCATCGTTAGTGAGCCTTGCCATTCTCGGCACCATACAACAACTCGAAAAAGAGACAAGACGGGCTGTGGTGTGGTGCTAAGAGTGACAAGGTTCACTGACGGTGTCGGTGAAACGTCTGGGAATATATCAAGTCCACGGCCCGAGTCTGTAAATTATTATGCATAATATAGACTCCGGACAAAGTGCATTCCTAAAGGTCTTCTTGCCAATATGATCAAGTTGTGAAAACAAGGTCAAACAACCACTAGACAACGAAAGGAGACCCCGACTCTACAAAAGGGCACATCATCTTGGTCTTCATACCTTCGATTAGTGGGTTAAGATATAGGCATTAGTTTAAGGGTAAAAAGAGTCTCACTCACTCTTTACGTTAAAGCACTTCAAGTAGTTAATAATTAGATGTGAATTTACGGTATTAATATTTGAATAAGAACTGTGTTCAGCCTATTTCGTTTAAGGTGATGAAGGACTGGGAGTAGAATTTTCCCACAATGATATGAGCAGAGCTAACGTTTCCATTGAATTTCACTGGTAGTCTCGAAACTCTACTTAAATACGAAAAATAAGTAGCCTAGTTGATTGTTATAGGAAATATACGTTTGCTTCATCGACAATCCCACCCAAGAATATGATATGGCGAAAAGCCTGGCCTTCCTTGAAATTCACATTTGCCCTGTGACCCTAGGGCACTCGTGGCAATGTGGCCAAGGGGTTGGCATGTCAAGCTCGTATTCTGCACTTTCACTAGTTCGAATCCCGCTGGGGGTGTAGATAAGACCGATGCGAGGTTCAAACTGCAGTCTACTGGTGCCTGGATGAAAACAACTATTGGGAAAGCAAGGCTATGCGAAATTCCATGGAGACGTCAGCTCTACTCATATCATTGTGGGAAAATGATACTACCAGTCCTTCATCAACTTAAACGAAATAAAGTGAATAAATCTCATATTACTGATTTACTGGTAGTCTCGAAACTCTACTTCAATACGAAAAATACTGGTAGTCAAGGGAGTTCATTTGGGGTTGTCCCGCATAGTGTGATATCATCCAGGGGAGCAAGGCTAAGGGCAATTTCATGTCAACCTAAGGTTCACGCATATATTTGACGAAAAATTTACCAATCAATTCCTTATCACCTTATACTATCTCTGATCATTACAGTCTCAAAGAACAAACTCTAATTACAGCTAAATAGCAACACTTTGTGCCATTACTTGATATAATCTAGTTATTCAAGCGATGCTGCCTAAATCTGCAGCCCATCTTAATCTCACGTCGTTGGTAAATTTCCTTGTAAACATGTTTGTAAAGTAAGAAAGTAAACAAAGTGACCACCTTGAATTCCTTCTCCATTTCGGCTAACTTCATCATCTCCTGTCGGAGTTCGAATGTGGTCATTATTGGATCGGGGCTACTTAATGCCATATATGCAGGACTCGCTAGTGCTCGGTATGCATTAAGACGCGAGCGAGAGCGCTTTAGCGAGTCGTAGTCTTGTCGTATCTGACAGTCGGAACACTGACATGAGATTGGATGAGGCTTGTCGATTGAATGATTGCGTGACAGGAACATTTGTACCATCTCATGATTGTTATAATGCGCCGACAGTATGAGCGGCGTGATGTCAGGCGAGAATTGACTTTTTTCGGTGGTGCGAAAGAATGCATTCTTTGAGTCCACCCTTTTGATGCGATCTTCGCCAACCTGATAATTGGGATGCTCAATAATCAAACGCACCAACTTGGTGTGACCTTTGCTGATGGCATGCAGCAGGGCTTCCTCAATGCACTCAAAGTCCAACTTGTCCAAAAGCATTTCGATAGCCTCCGTGTTCTCCGAATCGACGGCCAGATGTAGGGCATTGCGGCCCATGTAGTCAACACAATTGACATTAAAATTAGAATTGTTGTCGGCATCTTCTAGAGACATACGTATCACTCCGATGTCGCCAATCGCCACTGCATTAAGGTAGACACGCTCCTCATCTGTTAGCTGATAACAAGGAGATGATGTAGAATAATAAACATGTAAGAGTAAGTATACATAATAAAATTGACTATTCTGTCCATGATGGTCGTCTGCATGAATACAAAAAAGTTTGCATATGAGATTGTGCTTGGCTCCAATCAGCACAAATAAGCGAATAGCTGAAGTAAAATTTCCTTTCTTCTATTAAACTGTTATGGGCTCCAGGTTACAAATAGAGATTATTCTCAATTTTTGGACGGAATAACTATTTTGATTATATTATCATGATCTTTGAAGGTGAAGCAAAGTTTTTTTCGGAATAAGTTACTTTTTACACAATTAACAGAAAATAGAATGTATTAAGCTAATTAAAGCAGAAATTTATGTGAATAATCTGCGAATAATTAATGCTCGAAATAAAACATAAAATTGTCATTCCTTCTGCTTTTAATATGGGCCATATAGATTTGCTAGAGATAGGATAGAATCTCTTAAGTCAATTAACTTTAATGAAACAGTCCAGAAAAAGTTTTTAATTCTGTTTTCATCATATTGCGTCTTTTTTTGGGGAGGGGATACATTGCTAAATATTTATTACTTGCTACCTAAAAGATATGACCAATAAAAACAAATAAATATTACTAAGTAGAAAAGGATAGCTATATCGCCAAACTATAGACTAGTACAATAGACGGATATCAGCTAAAATTGTTTCATTATTATATTATTTTGAGAACCCGCCTCTGACAAGGCACTGTGAATATCAGATTTCAGATGAACCCCTCTCCCAGGCTAGCAGGCGCCAAAACTGAAGGAAATACGTACTGTAATTGGTGTCAAAGAACTGAAATACCCATATTAAGGGATACCATATATTTTTTACAGTTTCCATAAGTGTAGGTCCCACTAAATGAAAACAATATTATACTGGAAGGCGGAAAAGATTAGTAATAATGAATTCTAATTATCAGGCCTTCTAATTAAGTTTTATATGCTTTCTAGGGTAAATGATAATTTACGTCTCAAGAGGACGTTACACTTTTTTTCTATCCTTATTATTTAAGATTTTCCAGTAAAAGATACAGTTTAAGGTTTATGAAATCGGTTAGGAAACATTTTGTAAAGAATGCGAACATGGATCAAGTCAATTTTTTGTATATATTTTCGGTAAAGTAGCCCATTAATTTTCACCGAGTATCAAATGAAAAATAAAATGTCTATTTGGTTCAAAACGTGTGAGTGAGTAGGTTAATAAACTTTGTATATTTTTCTATTCAGTAATGTTCATTCAAATCCAATGCTCTTTTTATCAAAACAATTGATTTTGAATAATCCTTTAT